AACCAGGCTGAGCTGGAATTTGGTCTCCCCTCCCCCTCCTTGCCTGCCTGGAGCTAACCCAGCGCATTGGAAGGGGTTTCCTGCAGAAACGTGCTATGGTTGGGGCAGGGCGGGGACTGCTCCAGGGGATTGGTCCACAAGGGACTTCATCTGGTATACAGAAGTTACTAAAGCTTTGCGACAGGACCCCAGACCCATCCCTGCCTGCTCAGGGGAGCCCGCCGTTCTCCCACCCTACTGGTCGGGTCTGGGGAAGCCACAGGGAAGGGAGGCTTGCATCCTAGTGCAGGGAAGGCCAGGCCAGGACGACAGAGCCCCGATGGCATTGTATCTTACAGCCTATGCTAACTTTCTTAACCGATGAGGACACTGAAACGGGTCAACACCCGATGTCCATCAAAGTGAAAGAAGCTAGTCCGAAAAGTTAAGGCATCTAGGTGCAATGAGTCACCCCAAACAGTTTTACACCCATAATAAAGAAATACAGGTGGTATGGGCAAAGGTGGTCACAACATATTGAAACAGAATAATCAGAATGGTCTGATTGTGTTTGAAAAGTGTGGGTGTTTCTGCAGGCCCAAAGGCAGTGGAGACCAGTTTCTCTCCGAGTGGAGGTGCTGCTTTTCCCCGACATTGTATTACCATAACAACCAAACAACATAAAACCAAATTCAGAAAAGCCATTTCCAAAGAAAGACAAAGGAGAGAAGAAGGTGGGGTGGCTTGAGTTCCCACCTTCTGTCCCAGGCTCCTGGCAGAAGCTGGAGGCCTGATGTCTTAGGTGCAACCCTGGTAGGCCCAAGACCACTCTTGACAAGAATTCCACCTGTGCTTAGCCTGGAAGGGCCCAGCCCACCCAGGTGTATGCGCTGGGGGCCTGGCAGGCCCCCCAGCCCCATGAATGAACCAATCCCCCAGACAAAGAGAAGATACCCACCAGCTGTTGCTCCCTCTACCGGAAAAGCAGGGGAGGGGAGGGGCAGAAGTGGGGGAAGGGAAAGGTGAGAGGAGGGAGGCACATTACCTAAAGCTAAAGTTATATTTTTTAGAACAAAAAGTGTGGTGAGCCTTTCCTGGTAGAGTGGGGATGTAAGGACCACAGGGACAAAAGCCCAGAGGGGAGAGGACGTGTCCAGAGCCTTTGGCTGCCCTGTGAGACCAGGACTCTCCTGGCCATCAGGGTGGGAAGAATTCTCTGGAAGAGGACTCTCCAGGTGTAGAGTGGTCTTCCAAGAACCCAGGTCTGTCCCACCTGCAGTGGCTCAGAAAGGGGCTATTGCAGTCAGGGACAGCAGATGTCCCCTGCCCTGCCCCAGGAGACAAAGGGGGTTCCAAGTGGGGGCTTTTCCACTCTAGGCTCCACCCCTGTGACCGAGCTTTTGTGCCCCTCCTCCTCAGAAGCCCTGGGTTGGCCCTGGGGATATCTCTCTCTCAGGGAGGAAGAGCAGGGTGGGGCAAGCTGCTTGCCCTGAGGACCTAACTGGTTCTGGGGTTCAACAAAACAATGTCCTGGATCCTGAAACACGTCATTGTCACCTGAGAACACACGAACAAAAAGCATGGGGACTTGCCAGACGAAAGGAACTAAAAAGACCCACAGGACAGGGAGGGGAGGGGCAGCTAGGAAGGGCAGTGTGGAGCTGCCAGTGTGTGAGTTGCCCACATACTATTCGACTTTTCTATCAATTTGAAATTTTTCAAATAAAATTATTTCATAAGTCTAGGTGAAAGCTCCTCGTTTCAAAGTGACAGAGGGCTATATTGAAAACAGTAGTGGTAACAACCTTCAATGCCCCTAGTGAATTATCCTGCTGCCAACTGGCCTTTCTCTGCTCCTCTGTCCCCAGCTCAGGACATCCTAGGTGCCTGATGGCTGGATGTCTCAAGCTGCCCACACTGCCCTTCACCTCCAGGATTGGGGTGCAGGGAGGTGCAGGGGGCAGTCCCTTAAAAATGGGAAGTGGGATCTCCACCACCAGAGCTCTTGGAGACCTTGCTGGGCCTTTTTTTTTTTTCCAATACTCACCCAAGGATATGCTTTTATTGATTTGAGAGAGAGAGAAAGGGAAAGAGAGGGGGAGAGAGAGAGAGAGAGAAACATCAATGTGAGAGAGAAACATGGATAAGTTGCCTCCCATAAGCACCCCCTGGGTATGTGCCCTGATCAGAAATCAAACCCACAACTTTTTGGTGTCCGGGATGGCACTCCAACCAATTGAACCACCTGGCCAGGGCACTGGGGCTTTATTTTGTATTTGAGAAAAGTAAGGAGTGTTAAAAGAACAAAGAAGTTGGGACCTGAGCTCTCCAGGGGGTTTTAGGTCCTTTAATGGGCAGAGTTCCAGCTTTAGGTCACACTCCTCCCATGGCCCCCAGGGGCTGGCTGTGGATCTCCATCCTCTCATTTTTTGAGGCTTGGAAACTTTAGTAGCACATGCACAGATTTCCTTCCCTTGGGTTGTTACTCCTCTGACGCCGTGGAAATCCTGCACACACGTGGTGACTTCACTGAGAGCACTTACGACGAATTACGTGACAAACTGAAGGCTTAAAGGGGGGCTGGTGCAGAGATGGCAGCCAGCCATCTTGAGCACATCGTAAAGTGTAAACCAGCCCAAACACCATTTTGCCCTCCAGCCCTTATACTGGTTCCACAGGTAACATTTTCAAGTAAATCTTGGGCAAATGTTTGCTGTTGGCTCCAGGTAAAGGCTGTGCCAGATTCCAGGCTTTAGAGTTGGAGAGTGAGCCTAAGAGTGACGCAGGGTCCCTGGAGCTGGCACAGTCCCTACTGAAATACGGGCAGCCTTGACAAGATTAGGAAGGGAGAGCAGACCAGACCCAGCCAAATTCTCAAATTCTCAGCAGCAGCAACACATCCTGAAACAACTGCAGTAACCCTCCCAGATATGTTCAAGGACAGTCACTCTGGGCCCAGATAGCAGGCCCTGAGAAACTCAAGCATGAGGCCAAATCCAGCTATTCTTGGGCATGAAAGGTCTCCGGGGTCATCCACCAGGAAGTCGCGCTGAATCCATGAGGAAGGAAAACCCTGGCCCAGGGTCTGACCAGAAAGGGTTTGGTCAAGTCCATCCCTGTGGTCTTGAAAAATGGGGAAAACCCAAGAACTGCCCTCATAATAAACTGAGCTAAACCCTGAGGACATTGCAGTTTGGGGGGATTTCTTCCAAGGAGGGAAGGTGGCAGGAGCAGCCTTTGGCCTGGCTGACTGGAAAAGCAGAGTTGGTGGGTTTGGCTCAACCCTTTGGGGCCCTTTGGATCCGCAGGGCAGAGAGAGGGAGACCCAGCACCTGTGCCTACAGACAGAGAGCCCCACCTTCCTGGTGGCCCACAGCCTCAGGGGATCACAAGCAGCGACTGTTTGTTGTTGTTGTTTTGATCTTTTTAAATTTTTATTTTTAAAGAGAGGGAAGTGGGGGGAGAGAGAGAGAAAGAGAGAGAGAGAGAGAAACATTGATCAGTTGCCTCCCGCACATGCCCCAACCAGGGACTAAACCCACAACCTGGGTATGTGCCCTGCTGGGGAATCAAGCCTGCCACTTTTTGGTGTAGGGAATGATGCTCCAACCAACTGAGCCACACCAACCACGGCCCCATTGTTTTAATTTAAAAGAAAATAAAACATTGCCTGAGCATCTGTCAGTGATAAGCACACCAGACCTTCTCCTCTGCCGAAATGTTCTGAGGGAGAGAAGAGGGTGTGGCAGCATTTTCTAATTGGTCCTGAAAGGAGGGTCTGCCTCATTTCTGTGAAAGCAAAGCCTGATCTGTGAAAATTCAGTCTATGAAATACAGATTGTTCTTCCTGACACAAGACAATACATGTAGTAGGTTAAAGGCATTTTGGGGAAGCTCTAAGAATATGTTCTCTAATCAGCACCTCATTTTATGTTTCACCAGTGGAGATGAGAGACACACCACCGCAATACCACTGGCAGCATTTTCAAAGCCAGCAACTGGGAACCTGGGGGCAGAAGCCAGACCTATGAGTGCTCCTGCCTTCTCCCCAAACCCCCTCCTGGGGGTCACAGCCAGAGCACAGACATCCAGGGCCCTTGCCTATCAGCCAGCACTGGCCACAGATGGGGGACCCTGCTGTCTC